GTCTGTATATTATGGGGGATTACATAGCCCGTAGAAATTTACCATGAAAGTTCCCGCCGTACGACGGGGCCCCGACCCTGGTCACGCTCGTTTGTCCTGCGTTAAACGTTCCCGTCTCTTTCGCTTCTCGTTCTCTGTCTCTTATAGCGGAAACTGTGCACCATGCCACACCATATGCCAGCTCCCATCATACGGGAGTCGGCCTGTGCCTTCGTACGCTCGAGGAAACCCTCTTTCAATGAAAATCTAATCGAGAATCGACCTACGATTTTATGCCCTTACGCTTCTGGTAAGCAAAATGTTCATTCGCGCGTAATACGCGTGCATTTCTTCCTCGGTTTTCGCCAAGTTTCGCCAAGTTTCGAATGCTTATGGATTGTTCGGGGAATTCTCTTTGGAAATAGAAGAAATATCAAACAATCGGCAAATCAGTATCACGGCACTCGAACACGGTTAAGTCGTTTCAGATACCGGTCTGGGTCGAATAGAGTGTTTTGTTTGCGTATTACAATAACCGAGAACGAGAAGATAATGATTTTTCGTTCGCTTCGAACGAGATCATGAACAAGTAGAGAATCTGGTCAGATTGTTTTCGTTTGGCGAACTAGAGGTCTTGCTATGATCAATGACTTCTTCGGTGCTAATCGATCATCGTATTGACTCGTCTGCTCGAAGATCTATTGATCTTCGCGGATTTAAATCGCGTTCGTACTTGTGCGAAAGATTAGATAAACGATAACGATTCGAGGAAGCGATCGAGTGCGTTAATGCTCTCGTAATGTTATTAACGATATTCCTGTCGTTATGCAGCGTTGATTGATTACGAATTTCGAAATCGTTTCGTATTTTTTAAGCTAGGGGAGATTTAAACCGCGAACTCGTGCCTCTTTAATCCTTAAATCGACAAAGATTTGATTATTCGCTTACTTATTTACGCAGTCGTTTTCGTCGAGCTTTAACTCCTAAATTGATAGTCATCGAATCTTTCTATGTTTCGAAATAGACGACTCGAGATATCGTAACTTAAAGTTTGTAGCTTTTCATGTATCATCAATCGAGTCTAAGTAAGCCGAGATAAGGAGGATAATTTTTCAATCATAGCGTATCAATATTTCCAGTACGGTGATTGCAATATCCTTTTTTTTATCGATTTAACACTTTTCACGTTCGCAAAGAAACTCTGACCAAGTGTTAGCCACTCCTTTGTTATCGTACAGGTACGCTATCGTTTTCGTGAAATTGCAACTAAGCACCCGAATAAAATCACCGATCGTTCCGTGCACGAGTTCAAGATTCGTCAAGATCCGGATTAATCGGTTTAAATTAGACCAATTCTTTCCAATTACGGCGTATCTGTTTCCAGATAGCGAACGCTTACTATAAAACGATCGTTCGCCTACCCGCAGGGGTCCATCTGCGTTTTTGATACGTAATCCTTCGATGTGTGCACGCGTCTGCCCACATGCCAGCGTGTGGTAGCCGGTTTCTTCACGAACCAAGTAATATTACGAACGATCGTTCACCGTCTATCGTTTCACGTGTCTATCGTTTCTCCGTCGCTGATAACCATCACCCACATCACCAATTGGTAAAGACAATCGCTAATATGTGTTTCTATTCGATCGAGAGTGACTCATCCGGCAACGTTCTCTCGTCTGACTCGTGGAGAGAAAAGAACGACCCGAGACCGAGGCGGTTATAATACCGGCGAAACAATTGTTCGACGGGACAATCAAGTGTTAAATTCGTGGCGCCAGCCACTTCGTCCCCTGTATCCGGCGCATTGAACTACTTCGCCAAGGTAGATTCGCGATTCTTCCCTTGGAGTAGTAAATCGGTCAACTTTCGATCCTCTGATCCTTGAACGATCATCTGCCGAGATAATGCGTGTAGTTGCAAATAAACAAAAGTGCAACACTGTCGATGGCATAATTACAATTCTTATCAAAAACCTTCTGTTAATTCTCTTTGAAGTTTCACGTTCTACTACACCGATAAATAGGTTACACAGATAACTAAGTATCAACTGCAAGGTACAACTATTTGCCAAGACGGAACTAATCTGGCTTTACCTACGGATTTCGTTTTTAATCGTTCTCGTAAATTCGGTATCGGTATGGGTGGGCATGTTAGAAACTTGATAATTTCGAAACTGTGTATTCGTACACGATATTTGACACGATTGATCGCGTAGAAAGTAGACGGTGCGAGCTCTCTACACAGCTCGTGAATGTCCGTTTGTGTGGCGAGGGATTAAGCTATCTTACAGGCTTGTAAATCACGTCCGGTATATACTTGTGCAAACAAACTCGGGCAGGTTCGGTATTGAACGAACCGATGAACAAGGAAACTGATAAAGTATCTTGAAAACGATCGATGTTTAATGTGATTTTAGATTTATTGGGAACTTTGAACGACACGCACCTGAATCACTCGTGAATTTTATAAATTCTTCTTCGAATAAAATTCAATCGGCATTGGCAGTATCGAGGTCAATAAAGTTATTTTTTAATTTTTCTCGTGAAAATTCTATTCTATACATTCTACTTGGTAATCTCAAAGAAACATCCCCTTCTTCATGAATCGTAAGCTCGAGGAACTCTCGCTTCCTGTCCGTATTTATCTCCGTATCCTTCTATTTCGCTCGATTCCGCTTCTTCTAGGCTCGGAGGACATCATTCGTTCGCATCAGCTCGTCAGCAGCTGGGAGTTTTCCTATTTTCGTGGTAAGAGGGTAAGCAATTTCCTCGCGAAGATAGAACTGCCCTGGGACACCCTCGGATACTTCAGGGAGAAAGTAGACGACGATGCGAGTGAGTAAGTATGATCGATGCGATTTGTCGTTCTTTCATGACATTTAACATCTTCTGCCTCGTATACACGCGCGTATAGATACGCTCCTGACGACACTTCGTACGCTAGTATATTCTCTTTATAGAAAGATATTGTTCTAACGTAATTTAGCTAAGAACGATAATTGATTGTGCGATTTACGATTGTTTTCTCATTATTTCATTCGAGTTTGAAAAATAAATCGTACTCGTATGATTTGCCGAGATAGATAATATTTACTTAAAGAAGAAAAAGAATTCAGCGTGGAAAATTTTTCAACGGTGATAATTTGTTCTGCGAATTTATTGGGTGCAATAAACGGCCAACGTCGTCATAATCGCTTAAGCTGTAGTGGATTGCGTTAGATGGATGAGCGGTGCAGTTTGATTCGACTTGTCAAAGTCGATTCCAGTTGGAAACGGTACGTCGTAGCGCGACAAAATTCTGACGAAAATCTTACGGAACGATTTGGCCACAGGTTAAAATTATCGATCGACGAAAAAGCAGAAAGAAGGTTTTGCCAAATCCCTTTTCGCAATAAATTTACGCGTTTTTCGAACGGTCGAAATCCTGGAATCACCGATATAATATCTCGTTTTGCCGAGTCAGCGAGAAACGTAACGGAACTTAATGCGGCGTGGTCGACGCCTTTTACGTTTTGATGCACTTTAAGTACCGATAATATACGACTCCAGTAGCAAAACCCGATGCAAGAGTTTCGAAAATATAACAATTTATTTAGTATGAAATTTTGTAGATTACGTTGCAGATACGGTGACAACAACAACACGCGAGACGAAAAAACGATGACCGATCAAAATTCTAACGCAGTAATATTTTTATCGAACATCTGATCCGTGTAGCTTATATTCGATTGCCGTCAATTTTATTCGATTAATCAGGATTTTAATCCGAATGCAATTCGATACAACGCAATCATTCTTATTTGCGTTTATACACTTGCAGAGGATTGAACGTTATGTCCTCGAATTTTATTCCCCGTTAGCCAGTCCCGCGAACGAAATATCTGAAGCAAGCCGGTCTGTTTCATTCGCGAAGCTCGAACTTATCCTTGTACAGGAAACGGAGTCTACGGTGCATTTACTTCCGGGCGTGCAGGAACGGGAGCGCACAAATATCAATCAGTGGAGTCAAGAGTGGAATCAGGGTGGCCGAGTGGTTCCACATAATGCTGCAACCGGAGGTGAGAGAGCGTGGCACACACCGTGTCTCGTGTCCATTCGCCAGTAGCTACCACCCACACCGATTCACGCACACGCAGACACGACCAGTTAAACAGCACCCACACGATCATCGGTGGCAAACGAATAAACATACTCGCTGGCCACCTTCGTGTGCACGGACGCGCGTGTTGGTAACGCGCGATAGCATCAGCCGTAGTCAGCGTTCAGAGAAACTCTGTGTCCATGGTGGTGATGGTAGTGGTATCCAAAGTGTACGTCGGTGTGCGACATCAGGGCCATGGTGAGTGGTTTCGTGGGGGTGGAGTAGGGACGAAGAAGGCGTGCCACGGAGGCGGAGTCTCCATCGAAAATCCCGGCATGCATCCAACATCTGTGTGGGTGTTCCTGCTCAATCTTTCTCTCTCTCTCGTTCCTTTTCGCCGTTTCTCCTTCTCTCCTTCCTCGCGTTGAACAGAGACGATCGAGGTTCGTGTGTGCGTTCGTTCCCCCTCTCTTTCTCGCAGTCTAACTCGCGACTTTCGTCCGTCATCGCATTGGAGTTCCTCCACTATCAGACCCGTTAACAGCAGTCGGCGTCGAGGCACCCGCTATAACGTTCGACGCCTTTTACGTTTTGATGCACTTTAAGTACCGATAATATACGACTCCAGTAGCAAAACCCGATGCAAGAGTTTCGAAAATATAACAATTTATTTAGTATGAAATTTTGTAGATTACGTTGCAGATACGGTGACAACAACAACACGCGAGACGAAAAAACGATGACCGATCAAAATTCTAACGCAGTAATATTTTTATCGAACATCTGATCCGTGTAGCTTATATTCGATTGCCGTCAATTTTATTCGATTAATCAGGATTTTAATCCGAATGCAATTCGATACAACGCAATCATTCTTATTTGCGTTTATACACTTGCAGAGGATTGAACGTTATGTCCTCGAATTTTATTCCCCGTTAGCCAGTCCCGCGAACGAAATATCTGAAGCAAGCCGGTCTGTTTCATTCGCGAAGCTCGAACTTATCCTTGTACAGGAAACGGAGTCTACGGTGCATTTACTTCCGGGCGTGCAGGAACGGGAGCGCACAAATATCAATCAGTGGAGTCAAGAGTGGAATCAGGGTGGCCGAGTGGTTCCACATAATGCTGCAACCGGAGGTGAGAGAGCGTGGCACACACCGTGTCTCGTGTCCATTCGCCAGTAGCTACCACCCACACCGATTCACGCACACGCAGACACGACCAGTTAAACAGCACCCACACGATCATCGGTGGCAAACGAATAAACATACTCGCTGGCCACCTTCGTGTGCACGGACGCGCGTGTTGGTAACGCGCGATAGCATCAGCCGTAGTCAGCGTTCAGAGAAACTCTGTGTCCATGGTGGTGATGGTAGTGGTATCCAAAGTGTACGTCGGTGTGCGACATCAGGGCCATGGTGAGTGGTTTCGTGGGGGTGGAGTAGGGACGAAGAAGGCGTGCCACGGAGGCGGAGTCTCCATCGAAAATCCCGGCATGCATCCAACATCTGTGTGGGTGTTCCTGCTCAATCTTTCTCTCTCTCTCGTTCCTTTTCGCCGTTTCTCCTTCTCTCCTTCCTCGCGTTGAACAGAGACGATCGAGGTTCGTGTGTGCGTTCGTTCCCCCTCTCTTTCTCGCAGTCTAACTCGCGACTTTCGTCCGTCATCGCATTGGAGTTCCTCCACTATCAGACCCGTTAACAGCAGTCGGCGTCGAGGCACCCGCTATAACGTCTCTCGCATCCCCGGGTGCCGGTGCTCGTCGTTCCTGACCTGTCCGGCCGATGGACGGCACGGAAATCAGTGTCTTCGTAAGCCGGAAGCTCGTTACGCGTATCGTCGTCGAACGTTAGATCCTCGTCTTTGTCCGACCACGACAATCGTAGCCAGAGACACCAAGATTCTAGGGTGGGTGATTTGAACGAGCCACGAAGAAGGGTTTGCCACAGAATCGACCGATATTTAAGGATAGATCGTAGTCTTCGTGGCAAGGGATGATCGCAGGAGACAGTGTCGGTGAGAGGGATTATCGCTTCGCGTTATCGTAAACAAGAGGGTGGTGAATGCTTCACTGACGATACGATAGTGACACACTCTCGATGAACCTGAACGGGAGCGAATGTCGTGCACAGTGAGGGTAGAATTGTTGTAAGAACAGTGATATCGAACTGTCGGAGCAGGATGATGGAAGTGCAGCAGCAACACTCGCCTGTAGGGGTGGGTCCTCTGGACTTTTCGCGCAGGGGTGTCGCGGAAGCGTCAGCTTTTCGCGTTGTCAAACCGAAACAGGCGGCCTCTTCGTTGGTGCATCAGCAGGCGATGTCGCCGGAAACTAATAACAACGAGAATCTTCAGGAGAGTCCGCAAATTCCTGTCGACGTCGAAGGTAGGTTCGCGCTAGTATCGTTAGTATCTTTGATTTTTACGTTCCACGACAATTTTTAAACTCGCGATTCGCTTTCGATCTTTGGACAGCAGAGCGGTGATACGGTGGCAATTAAAATTTCATTTTAGATTTCTTTTAATCAAAGCCTCGAGTGTTAGCTTCCCTTTCCAAAATTACGAGTGGTAATCGAATATCGCAATGCATGTCAAATTAAATTATCGTGCGGTCGCAAATCGCAGTTGTTCATCATTCAACCCTATCAAATTCAAATTTCACTCAATGATTCTCTTTATCGTTTTAATGACACGTTATCGTTGATGTTTGTCCTATCTGTCATCTATCATAAATCTAAAGTAAATCATTTTATTATCTTTTAATTGTGACATTTATCAAAAACGATATGTACACTCAAGTACAACGTAGTCTTTATTTAGCTAAGGGTGGTAATAAAAGAAAGAGCCACCTATCAATAATTTCTTTAGATGTTGAGAGAAGATCATGTCATCCTCTTAATCGGGGCATAGTTCTATAAGTCCAATTTTTCTTAATAAGATTAGGACAACGAAAAGATAAAAAAATACTCGCGAACGCATCAATTTAACAGAGAATCGAGAATGAAACGCAGAGAGCAGGCCGCAGAATTACATTTCCCTCGACCACCGTGAATCCCGTTCCCCGATCGTTTCTGCATCCCTCGCGCGGATTCGCATCTCACCCCTGACATTCATCCCGTTGTCGCCTGTCATCATGCTATCTATTACCTGCCTATTATCTCTGCAACGCACCGTTTACGCCCTTGAATTCGCGCCGACACCTGAGCTCTGCACCCTGCACGCGTGTACGTGTATGCTCTCGCTTTGTGTTGCACACATCGTGTCCGAGACACGAACTATCGTCATTGGTTCTGCACGGTGAAATGCATGGCGAGGGTGTATGTGCGCGCGTGAATGTGTGTATGTGTATGTGTACAGGTGCGTAAAGGGAACACAACAACGATCGTTCAACAGGTGAGAGGGGAACGGACGAGGCATTAGATGGCTGCCTATACTAATACTACTAATCGACCTAATAGCTAACGCAATAATATCAACCAAACAGCGTGTAGGAATCGGCCTAAAACGGTTTAAGCGATAATTGCCAGGTGATAGGCAGAAGAGGGTTGTTTCCTTAGGGTTGGGGTATTTGTTGACCCGTCTTCTTGGGCTCGGAAGGAGTTATCTTCCGGTGACGGAAGTTGAAACCCTTCGATTTAGAGGATTCTCGAAGATTACGTGTCTTGGATTACGTTGCAAATATACGTGGTGATTTCCGCTTTTTAATACGTTATTCGATTTGACGTAGGAAGTCGAGTAGCGATTGAAATGTGGCAATAACTGTTTCGTAAACGTTTCGGTACTCGATGATTGCTCTCATTGTCCGCGTATGCAAATACCGTCTCTCAAATTAGTCCTTCATTTAATAATTATCGGTCAACGATAGTTACAACAACAAGTAAAGAAACATACCAAACAGAATTTTATCGTTCCACCTGGTCCGTTATTCACCTTCGTTTAAAAACGGATTATGAATCAGCAAAGATTTCTAGCGAGTTTGCCGTACAGGTGACAGAGGTCAATCGTCCTCTCAAGATTGTCCTTAGAAAATCACGCGCTATAGGATTTATCGTTTTATAGATTTACGAGCGACACACAGGTTAAGTTCGTCGCAACGAAACGAACCAACACAGATACGATCGTGGATTGTGTTGTACATCGGTAACAAACACGCATTACCTGACCGAGACATGTACACACTCGGTATCGATGGTTGGTTCTACCTAAACCGTGCGCGGACATCTTATCTCGGTGTGTGCTCGCTTTATAGGAAAATATGATTTATTTCTGATAATCCTGCGAGAATGAGATAGCCTTTGCGGCGTGGCGCGCTAATCTCCGGCCGCTATCTCAGATTATCCCGGTCGGTCCTATATTGCCCGGATTACGGATTTCATTCTTTCGCTTTTATCCTGCATTCTTTTTCCGCTTCTCGATACACGCGTACGTTCGATTGATCGGTTTCGCTAACCTCGTAAGCTTTCTTATAAGGTCACTTAATCGTTTGAAAGCGTAGTACGCAGTGTAAGCTAAGTGTAAGCTAAGTAGTTCGAAGTGAAATTTTGACGCGAGCATAAGTTTGATTTGTCTGAATCGATAGGACTCGAGATTGCAGCGTTTCGCGCAAAGTTCAAATTCCAGCGCGCTACCAAACGGTGATCAAAGAGTCGAGTAAAACGAATGGCGGCCGTCCGTGGATTGGAATGCAGCCACGGAGAAAAGAGAGCGAATAATGGCCGGGGCAAGGTTGATAAATAGAGAACGGTCTCCCTCCTTTCTAATAAAGACGCTCTTGTCGAGGGGTTGATCTTTTGTACGGGCTGGGAATACCAAATTTGTCAGCTCTCCAGACGTTGGTTCTCCGGTTAGTGGCTGGTCTCCGACGACGAAAGACAATGATGCATGAACGATTCGAAAATGTTGCTCGATCTTTCATATTTTCGCTAGAATTTTACGTAACATTGACTGAAGATGAACGACGGCCACTCTTCATGGGATCTTCTTTTGCTTTCAGGTGGCTGCAATGTTCGTTTAATGTTTCCCAGACTGTGGGCACCTTTTGGAAACGCTACGGAGGTCACCACTCTGCCACCCTTGCCTAAAAGTCATTCAGGTAGCTACTGAAATTGTTATTTGCTACTTATCTAAGTACGCACACGGGTTAACTAAGCCTTTGGCATGCGATAAAAGCTCACTATCGGTTTAAAAATACGGACAACGTATTAATATAAAGGTTGTGGCGGATATATGTAGAACGTGTTTTTATTTACCGGTGAACGATCGCGATTATTGGCTGCCAAATAAAATTAATTCGATTTAATCCAGCTGAAATCCTCCAAGCTTTACGACGCTGTTCGATCAATTTTAAGTTAGATCTTTGTGTCACTACTACATCTGATCCGTCGATAAGAAGTTTAAAGCTTCCTGATTTCGCAACTCATTTTACAATACTAGCAACGAAGGATGGAGATTATCGATTTTTTAAATAACAACATTAATACGGATCCAATGTAATCTGTTATAAAAAAGAAGGTATCAGTAGAAAATCCAGTCGAAGTATATTGTCGTTCGATCAATCATAGAGTAGTTAAAACGTGTCACAATCGTGCGAAGTAAATCAAAATTATCATCGAATTAACATACGAGCATAATCGACATTCTAAAGAAAGGAAGGTTTTTTTAAACGAATGAAAACATTCCATTTGTCTACTGATCGTTCATTGAAAAAAGTTCTGAGAAGCGATGAAATTGAAAGAATGAAAAAATTCTCGTTTATCTAATGACGTTTTAATGCGACAAAGTTTAGTCCGACTTTGTTCCGAGGAAGGTGTAGATGGGCGGCTCGTTGCCCCGTTCGGCTTCCTCCTCAGCCCGGATGACGAGTAGTTTTTATTTGTCGATCGTTAAGAACGACCGGTCGTCCGATGATTGGGATAAATGGTAGCACGCGTTATACCGTGGAGGGACATCGGCCCTTCTAACTCCTGTCGTTCCAATTGGAGCAGATTAGAGGCGCTGTACAGGGATTCGGACCGTCGGCCCCTTTGTACTCGTACGACGGTCGGCCTCTCAGTTCTACCTACCCTGAATTAGTAGCATCTTGTCATGTTAAACGCTCGTGCATATAACTTGTCCTCTTCCGACTCCTTCTTGCTGCACGTGGCCATTCATTTGTCGCGACGTCCACCTATACATGTATAGGTCGTAGGGCGATTTCGAGAAATCGACAACTTTCTTCGCTCTTTCTATTTATTTACGGAAATCTTACGAAGAATCGAGGGACGATCAGATCTGTTTCCTGACCTAACATAGATCTACTATCCAAATTCCTTGCGACTCTATCCTTTTCATCAGTTATCGTCCTCATTCTCCAGAATCTAACCGAAGCCAAAATCGAAATATTTTAATTTATGTCTCGTGACAATTTGTTGCGTCTTTCGCCCCACGTCAGAGATTTTAATCGATGGTGGATCAGATTTTGGACCAGCAGATTCTCGTGACTCGTATCTAATTCTAAAATCAGAGGGCAACGCCGCTGGCGAACAACGAGGGACCGAGTTTGAGAAAGATGGAAAATCCGTTTTTCGAAACCCACATCTTTCCATCGTTTGGGATCGAAAGTCGTAGTTTGTATGGCTGGTGCAAGCAGGACGGAAGAGGGGTTTGAAACGGTGAAGCATGTAACGGCTTTAATAGCGGCAGATCGCTACGCAGTAAACGACTGACGGACGACAGAAGATTAAAGTTGGCCGTTAACTCGATCTAATTGTTCCCCCGGCTTGGCCTTCCTTTATTAATCCACGTCCACAAGCATCTTCGGCATCGCCATCATTGTCATCCCTTGTCACGATCCTCCTTCTTGATGCTACTTGCGGATCCATCGTCGCGTCTCTGTAAATTGTCTTGCAACTTGCAGGCAAATCGTGGTCTCAACTAGCGCGTTCAAAATCAAACATAACCACAGAAAATGGTACCCTAATGACTTTACGTGGTTTAACATTTATATCGGAACTCCTAACAATTACTCGAAGGCCCGCGTTTCTGGAGCTTTTGCGAGGTTCGTGTTCGTCGTATTCGACACTTCTAGGAGGCTCCAGATGTACATTCACGTAAATAGGCGTGTACGAGAGTGCAAGCTCTGCCAAACACCCGGACCACAGTAACCCATCTGTTGGTCGGTTGGCACGATGATGATGGTTTTTCTCGCTAGTTTGCACCGTCGGTTTTTACCGCATTCCAACAGAGCCAGACATGGCATTTGCGTAAGCAGTTCTTCCTATCTTGCTTCGAGTCACATCTGTCCGGACTTCCTCTTGCCCTTTTCTTTCACTTTTGCTCCGTCCTGCTGTCTATCTTTTGCTTTCACGACTATTCTTCCCCTTCGTCTCCGAATCTTTCCGCACCTTTTTTTTATAGATGCATATCTCGTCTTCAATTTATGTCTTCGATTCCCGGATAATCTAATTTAGCTGTCTTTACAGTTAAGTAGTTATTAACGGCATAAAAAATTTATATTTGTCAAAGAAAGTTTGTAGCGAATCGAAGAGTTGCACACCGCATTCGACACTAATTTCTGTTTGCGATAACAAGCTTATGTCCGTGCGGTAGATTTACTCCTGAAAACATTCTCACCCCCATTTTATGCGTCATGTTTCCTTTTCTTTTTTTGTCGTCGTCTCCACGGACTCGGTTACGTTTCTCATTACATTAGGCCACTCTACCGAGACTCCTGGCGTATTTTGATTCGATTGCAAAGCCACCAGGAGACGCGATAATAATCGGCCCTTCCAGGGGATGATGGTCGAGAGCTTTAAATGCGATTAACCGGCACCGGTGCATTATATACCCAGGCACGTGACCGCGTGTCACGCGCGCGGATTATAAATATAATATACCGGGTGTACATCGTGCAGGCTGCTAGCGATTGAATTGATATTTGGCCCCTGAAGCGATCAACGAAACGCAGGCCGCCCCTCTTTTTCTCCGCTCGAACCAAGACCGATTTTCCGACCCACGAACCTCGTAAATCACTGCTGTTCGAGATCGTCCTCGATTATTAGAAATACCGAGCTCGTTAGGAAACCGTCAAGTATCGACGCGCTATCGAAGTCGACGACTTCGATGTATGATCGACAAAGTTGATACATTTTACAGATTATCTAGCCGATGATCGGTCAGTCGACGCCTTGTACGATTATTCTCACGATTTAAATTCTCTTTATCTGAGTGTACTTAACAATATCGATCTTACCGTTTCGTTCTTTATCGTTTCATCAACTTTCAAATGGAAATCTTCCTAATTTCGTTGTTACATCGACGCTCGAGGAACTCGAATTCGGTCGGACGTATTCGGGGCACAAATTAGAGGAAGTATCTTGGAAGAACGTCCTCTGTACTTCGATTTTTCCCAACGATGTCTCGTTAACCTCATACTCTAGCCTACCTTCGGATCGATGGGAAAAAAAGGACCCCGTACGTGACTTAAATCTCATTCGCTCAGCTTCTTCGGCCAGGGAAAACCGAATTTACTCTGGTCCTCGTTTTTCTCAGATTCTCCTGCATCGTGCCTAAGGCGTCTTATATTCCACGTGTGCTGTATACGTGACATAGGATCCTCCTTGACACTCGTCGATAAATGTCGGACTCGAGTTTAGATTACAAGAATCACATTCTAACTTGTCATAAAACAAAAGTGGCAACGAATAAGAAGCATCGAACAAAATTTTCGTTTCAGAACGATTGTCTTTTGGCGTGGGTCGTTTGGTGGGTTCTCCAGCAACCAGGAGTCCTTCGCCGTCGCACTCTCCCTGTCCAGATTCTCCACCGTCGGATCGTCGAGACGGAGAGGTGGACGTGGACGTGGAAGACGAGGAGGTGGACGTAGACGTCGAAGAAGTCGGCGACGAGGACGATCGCGACGCTGCATCGAGTCCTCCGCGATCGTCGACGACGCCATCGCCAACCAGCGTAGCGACGTCCCCAGCTTCCAACCCACCGAAGAAATCCGGCGATACTTTCAGCGTCTCGGCTCTGCTGAGGCCGGATCCGCCGTCTGCCCACCTGCAAAACGCCTCTCCTCATCGAGATGCCTCGTCTATCGGTGCACATCCCCCACCACCTGGATCTTCCATCCTTTATCCTCCTCTTCATCTTCAGGGTGGACTGTTACCGCCCCATCCTCATCATCCTCTCTCGTACCTGCATCCTCAGCTGCTGCCTCATCACTTGTTACCGCCACACTTGCACCCATTGCTGCGTGGCGTTCATCCGGGTCATCCTGGCCTCCACTCGACGCACACCGCCCACGGTCTTCATCATCATCCGCTCGGCGACGTGTACAGCTGCGTCAAGTGCGATAAGATGTTCAGCACGCCCCATGGACTCGAGGTAGGTTTGATTAGATCAGATTTCTTGCGAGAACTCGCGCAAAGCGTGGTAGAACGTTGCGCGAATTAAAGCGTTGATTGGCGTGGTGGTCACTAGCGATCGAAGCTTCAAACGTAACGTGATCGAGTAGTTCAAAGAAGATAATTGAATAGCATCGTTAATAATTACAACTTCAATTTGTGCATGGCCACTGTTACTGCGGTAGCCGGTGTATTAAATAGCCTCGAACAGTGTTAAGCGCGAGAACTACGTGAAACATTTGTCGAGTTACTCTAGGATTCAATTTCTCAGAGGTTTCAGAAAGAACGTGACGTCTTTTTCAGGTGCACGCAAGGAGATCTCACAATGGGAAGAGACCTTTCGCTTGCGAGCTGTGCAATAAAACGTTCGGCCATGAGATCAGCCTTACTCAACACAGAGCCGTGCATTCTGCGGAGAAGGTATTCGAGTGCAAGCAGTGCGGAAAAGCGTTCAAGCGTTCCAGCACCTTAAGTACTCATCTTTTAATCCATTCCGACACCAGACCGTACCCTTGTCAATTTTGCGGAAAAAGATTCCACCAGAAGAGTGACATGAAGAAGCACACCTACATACACACCGGTAAGTTCATTTCGATCAATACGTATTTTTAACTCTTGATTTGCAAACCGTTCGAACTCGTATACGAATCATAGGAGAACCGTATTCGTCGACAATCGGTGTACGAAAATTCCATGTTCGAATTGATCGTAGCAGGGACGCCAGGGATCAATTAGCAGAGCAACTTCATACGATAAATAATGCAGTTAACCGTCTGGACGGAGTCTTGTCGTAAGCAAGAGGATCCCAGTCGGATCGGGGCCACATGTGGCCAGTGCATTTTAGGGGTGGCGAGCCCCTCATTGCGAGCTTCACTCGGTAATAATCGTAATGTCTTTCGGGGTGCTCGTCGTTTCATCTTCTTTCGTTCGATGCTTCTCTCTCGTTCTTTGCTCTCGCGTGGTTGGATGACGCAGTGGATGGCCAATCTTCGAATACAATTTTTATACGACGAAAATTATCCGTGGGAAACGTGAACATGTCTTTTTCGCTCCATATAGATTTCCATCTGGTACTCGACGCGCATTGTCCGTGATTACGCTTTGTGATCCTTTCCGAAATTAAACCTGGACAAATTTTTCGTGACGCGTTCGGATAAAATATTTGTATTAGACGAACGAAGAGTTCCTATTAATTTTGCCAAATGAGATTCTACTACATCACGGTAAACGTTTTGATCGATCACAGTGATTCGAGTCAATAGAAATTTAGGAAAGTTACGTCAACGGCAACGTTTTCCATCCTCTAAGTCCATCGACAGTCCGTATCTCCGTCCAAAGTCGAAGATCAGTCCTGTTCGAGGGATCAACATCCCTTAGGTACTCATAGGTGAGCAGACGACGGTGTTGGGACACTTGACACTTGGGTGTCTCACGGTTGATGGAACGACAGTCCTGAAGGAGTAGGTCCTTCCAAGGGTGGAAGCAAGTTAGAGGAACAGCCGAAGGAGCGTTCCAGTCAGGGGTCTGGGTTTTGTATCGTCTCCATGGCAACTCTCCCAATATCTTATCAAATTATCACCTTGTCCTCCCCCATGCTCCTCCTCCTCCTGTTTCTTGTCGCTCTGGCTCGTCTACCTCTCTCGTTCACCCTCGTTTCGACGAAACAACCGAAGAAGGACCCGTCGAAAGAGGATACGAAGAGACGGTCACTTCCTACAGGTTCCTAACAACCCTGTGGGACTTCTGTCCGGTTGTCTACGCGCCTTCGTTGTCCACCTTCACGCACCATCACTTCGAGGGTTGCCATAGAACATTTAATTTATTATTCAGAGGGATGAAAAATTCGGAGGGCCCTTGCGTTCAATGCTGTACAGGAATAATTTTTTTTTCTTTGAATATCTTTCGTCCGTGACCTTCTTTTGCCATGCAATTTTCCCAACTACTCGACTTCTCCGAAAAACTTCTTGATTCTTTAAAGAACTTTGAGATATCGTAGAAACAAACGTGTTTCAATTTCTGTATCTCTACATGCCAAGGGAGGGGGACGAAGAACAACGTTAAATACGTTTACCCATTTCGAACAATTTGCCTGTTAGAAATTTTACAGCCCTATCGAGCGTAACAAACCGTAGCGTGAAAGTTTCGACGCCACTATTCCGTTCAATTAAAATCCTCGATCATGCGGCACTCACCTTCCACCACCCTTGAAACAAGGTCTCTTGTATGACCTCGAGGTTGGCGTGCGTACGTGCGTCAAGCACTAAACCGAGGGTGTTCTGGGACTCTGTTGCTAATGATAATCAGTCCTCTTTTTCCAGTCACCCCCTCGCTCCTCGTTCCATACACCCTTGGTCTTGGCGAGCATGGGCCATGTGCAATAAGGGTGCGGCACCGTCGGATTCCCAGGGGACCGGCATGGCGTAACGTAAAATCATTATTAGGTAGGTAGGTAGGTGGTTGCTGGTGCACACGAGGGGTGGCGAGAGAAAACGGGGGCTTGGTTCACCGAGAGAGGAGGGGGTGGTTGAAGCTGCGCTCACACAGGGTTGGGGAGTGCTGGAATAAGAGCTCTGCAAATATTGTTCGTGCGCGAGCCAGCAGCCGGAATAGCTACGAGGGGTCGAACGCGTTACCTTGGCTGTTAGGTGCGCCTTTTAGGGTGCGTTCTGGACCACCAGCCGTACGACGAGTCAAGTGCATGGGTCTAGGGTGGTCGGCAAGGGGTTGACGAGCCGGTTGCCGGTCTGGACGAACGGTGACAGGACCGACAAGTGGCCGCACACGCTCTCTGCACTTCCCGATGAGAAAACATTGGACTTATCTATTTCTGATGATCCACCGTCGAGCCACGGGAAAATATTGCTGTTTGAAGTTCGTGCGATGAAGTGGAACGGATGGACGTGATGATTCGAAGAAGTTTTCCGATCAATTATCTCGCAGGATGAGTAGAAAGTCCATTGGATATTGTAATACAACGATGAATCTTTATTCGCGCGTTACAACGTTCATCGTGGAATAACGAAAGATTACAAATTTTATTCTCGCGATGGAATACAATTTCTCGAAATAGAATGCGCGTATTACGAACGTCTCGGGAGTTGTGGACGACAAATTGACGATGATTTATGACGAGCGTGATTCGACCTACGAAAAGAAGAGTTGCCTTTTTGCGAGTGAAGCGCGCAGCCTCTTCGGGAAGGTAAACATAGAATCTATATAAGTCTGTCGACGTGACGAGATCGGAAAGCGTGCAGACGGCAGTCATCCCTCGCCATCTTCATCCCTCTATCAGCTTTGCTTTGCACCGACGGTGGACAGGTTGTGTTTATTATCAAAACATTGGGACTACTGTCGTGCTGTTCGATCGTGCAGCTAGCGTGTGTGTTTAAGTGCGCATACACCCTGCAACTTGATTCTCTCGGTGACAAAAAGACGTCGGTTTTGATCGATAACGTTGTAGGCTTACTAAATTTACTTGGATGTAATTGATCTTCCGATACGATGTCACCGTAAAACATCTTTCAAACAGAAACGAACGAGGAGACCTTTTATTTTTCGATTTGCGGTCCGAGGGATGTGTACGGTAACCAAACGAAACAACTCTATAAACACGAAAGAGATACAGACGCGTTCCGCCGTCGGTATTATGAATTTAGCGGTGGCTTTAATGTAGGATACCTGGCCGAACGTCTCCCTCAAGCTCACCTCGAGGGTGCGGTTATCGTATACCCGACGAGATACAAGCCTGCAACCTATACAGCCACCTTTGCGGCCACGTTCACCATGCTGTTGCTGGTTCTCTCTTTGTCCGTTCGTTGTTCGTCCCTCTCCTTTGTACGTAGACGAGACGAGGCTATTAGAGGTTTCCGGCTGACTTGGCGCCCAAGCATCGGGGGCGCCGCAACATCCCTCTAAGCTGTTTAAACTTCGCGACATGCTTCCAGGACTGCCTGCTCCTCGTCTCTGTCCCTCTTCTTCCCTTTTCAGCCTCTCATCTTTCGTCCCGTTATCGTATTTACGGCTCGTTAGCCGACGTATCCCTTCCATTGGTAAAATAATAGTCTCCGCAGTTGCGTTTGTGGTAGTTGCGGCATTTTTAATCGTCTGATCGCTATTATTTAACGCGTTCGGTACGACCTGATCACTCAAGTACGACCGACATTCGAATTTCTATAGGACTAATAACGTAAAATTGTTATATTATTTAATTGGGAGATGGACGAATTGTCAAGCACGAGGAAAAATATTTTTAAATTAGCTTTAAAAGAGGCTTTCAACGTGCGATCCATCGAGAAAAAATGGTTTCTTAGTCAACTCTGTTCCTGGGTGGCGTTAGTGTCTTCGTTAGACGATGTTCTATTTAATGTCGCGTCAGTGAGATGCTGCATAAGCAACCGATACGGCATTAAACATGCAAATTCGTCGGTATAACGTTCCAGGGAACCAAGGCATTATCTATATAGCGGTGAGTGGCGCATAGTGTTCATAGTGAAGCGGCATGATTAAATTTCCAGGGTTATCGACATGCCAGAAACACGTCAACCCCTTCCACTTCACCCGCCATATCTCGCCACTCATCCCTCTGTATCCTCCTTTTTCGCTCCTCCACCTATCCGCGTAACCACCCGTTCGAACCACCATGCCCCAGCCTAGAGGGTTGAAATTAACTGCGCCCAGAATACGAACGTTGTATCGATACATTTATATGCGGCAGTTTGATATCGCTGGAGACCGAATGCAGAGTGCAATTGTTATTTTGGAGTTAACTTGCAAGGACGGAAACTGCAACGGTAATATCGGATGTAAATTTGGATCTTTTGTTTCTGTCAATCTTCTAAATAACAACACGAATTTGTTCAGAATTAGAGCAAAAAGTAAACGTCTCTATTACGCTAGTTGCACTTGACGCATTTCGAACGTAACTAATCGAATTACACCTGAACTCTATATCTTTTAACTTTATCTTAAGACGCGAAATTTTTTCTTTTTCTTTCGCACGATCCGATATGCGCGCTAATTGAATCGAGGTTTAGCTTAAAGGTTTAGAAGTTATGATTTCCCTTATCTATCTCGTCTCAAGCGTTGTTTTCTGATCCGCGAAAGAGAATCGTATTTACTTTATCCATCATAGACGATCCAATTTCTTCGAACAATTTTAGTATCCGTATATATAATTCATGTTCGATAAGGGACTTCTTACTAATGGCCTCTCAGGTCGAGCAATCTCAATAGTCGGATAAGAGAAAGTCGCTCGTGAGTCACAATTGTCAATTAAGGTGTGTACACATCGGAAACCGATCAAAGATGGGGCTTCACACGGGTACAGAAGATCGGATTTGTCACGATTCCTAATGTTGATCGACGCCGTAATAATTTAATAGCCATACATCCGCCGTGATCGCCCGGAAGAGGATTATTATTGCGGATCCCTGCGGTACACCGAAAGCACTAAGGAGCTAACAGACTTAGCTCGAGTATCGTGTTTCTTCCTTCCTTCCAATTGTTCAGGTTTATTTCCGTCGAATTTGTGTATAAAAAGGGGATTTTTAGCAATAGAAATGTTTATTTTTTTCGTTTCTGAACGAATATTTCACGATGCATTTTCGTTATTAAAACGCGTCGAAAACACCGTACGAATCAACGATATTTTTCATCCTCGAAAAAGCTGCACTTCCAACGATTTTTTCATGTTTACCAGGCATTTCGTCGTGCCAGGCTAGAATATTAGTAGTCTGCAAAACATTTTCAGTTGCAGCTGGACCGCCGCAAATTCCCAGGTCTGTGCTCTTGTCATTGGTGCCTCGCACTCGTCGCCATCCACCCCCGTAACCCTATTGTTCGTGTAAACGATGTAGCCGTGTCGTTCGTGTACGGCATGTAAAACGTTGTAGTTGTGTCGACGACTCGTGTTGCTGTTGCTGTTGCTGAATACGCGACCATGGCTACCCGTGTACGCGTGAAATAGTAAATACAACCGCGTTGTTGGATCAGCTCGAACCTCGTGGGACTGGTAACAGTCGTTGACCGAATACCGCGTCGAGTTGCAGAGCTGCAGAGCGACGGAAGAAAATTCTAAACATCGAGGATAGTTTTCTTGATAAGCAGAAAATCCGGTAATTCGATCATTTCGATCGGAAACACTGAACTTTTCGACTGGGTAGATTAACGAAATCGGTGTACCATTTAAAGCCGGAAACACGGAGGATCGGGAAAACGCCGAGTCGATTAGTGACAACTAGTTTCAACTAGTCGTTAGTCAATTGCTTTCGGTTAACTTTAGCAACTAAGCTCGGTCAGTCAATTCTCATAATTACTAGTTATTCTTAAAATAATCTAGTAAAATCCAGTTGAATTACTCTGATCGTTTGCACTTCCTCGAATATTCGGTTATCATTACTGTTATAGTATTTTATAAAAATGGTAATAGAAGGAATAAAAATCTATCGATACAATGGTAGGATTAATGGACTTTTTGAGATATTTCAAAGACGGTCTCTAGAAATCTCACTCTAGCGAGATCGAGACAAAACACAGGCAAGGATTCCGAATGAAAGAACCTGGATTCTTTTTCCTGTTGTATGCGACAGAAGCGAAGCTTACCGAGAAAGATCAGCTTGACGTCGGCGGGTAACGCTTACGCGATTCTTTGCAGGCGAGCGAAAAGAAAATCCATGCTGCCCCCGATATGAAATATGAGATACGGTACTTTCCTTCGATTTTCTCTTTTTCTCGTCTCTCGCGAGGATTTTAGTTGGAGGGTAGGGACGCCCCCAGAGGGTCGAAACGTGGTCGATGAAGACGAGAGGAAATCAATGCCTCAGCCAGAGTCCGACTCACCTTCGTCTATCTTTTTCTGCCACGATTCCCTCCCGTGAAATTTAAACAGGACCATTAGGAAAATTCCTCTCCGTGAACCAACTTCGCTTTTCAATTATTTCGTTGCCTACGCAGTGATCGACCTAATCACTGTCATTCCCAAATTGACGAATAGGAAGTTGTACAAATTGAAACCACGTTAAGTCTAAATTTATGTTCAGATTTATTTCGTATCGAGTCAGGTTTACGTCTAACTTTAGCGTTAGCTTTGGGCTTAGATTCAAGTCGGATCTATGCAAGGTTAGCCTTAATTCGAATTAGTGGTACTTCGTTCGCGTAATTATATGAAAAATATTAGGTCGAGGAAGTGGTTAGTAAATCTGGATAATGATTCTTTATTTTCGATTCCTCGACAGAGACAAAATCATGGAGATAAAACGATTTGAAAAACTTAGCCGTCCCAACGGCGGAAACGATCAAACTGCCGTCTCGGTTTTCCGCTCTCGAGAGTTCGTCTTAGAGGATAGAGGGTTGAAGGATCATGGAGGGGTTGATGTTTCCAGTGGGCAGCGTTTACGAGGGCAGGCAGATGGAACGCGAAAGAAGGGAGGGAATTAGCGAAGGAGAGAAAGAGAGAAAGAGAGAGAGAGAGGACGAGAGAGAGGACCCTTGCAAGATTTCCGGGAGTTTAATATAGTTTTAGGGGCGTCGGCCGACAGCGCCAGGGGTGTAATGGCGTCTTAAACCTCAGGGGCTCTCAGTTTCGACTTTCTTGCTTCTCTTTCGATCGTTCTGTTTCCTTGCTTGAAAAATTGAGCGCACGGAATCTCTACTGGCAGGCGGAACTGAATCTTTGACCAGATCCTGTGAAAACCACGTACCAACGAGAACAAGCTTTTCTGTGTCTCGATGCAGCGGCGTGCACAATTCGTACTCGTGTACGTAGACCGGAAACGATGGTCAGAGAGAAACATTGAATGCATTCGGATAGTAGATGTAACCGTGGAACCACGTTGGCACTGTATCTCCGGGAGATAAAGACGAAAAGGACAACCTCGGTGCGCGAGACCCGACGGTTCTTGATTTTTATGAGCGCGTAAATTCCGGAAGACGTCCCTACGCGCTTGCTTCTCCACCCTTCTTCTCGTGATACGGAAATTCTTCCATTCGATGTCCTTCGTGCTAAGCGGAAATTCTCTCGGTCGAATACTTTTGGGGATGGAATTATCGTCGAGGAATTTTTTACAGCAACCTGACCGCGAAATTTCCATAGTTTCGAGTTATACCTTCGGGTACATTCCTGACGTATAAATCCTTTATCGAATGTATTTCGGTAGCTATAAAATATTTGTTTATATATATTCAATACTGTCTCCGACCTAAGATTATCGTTGTAAGGTTCTAAAATAATTTGTCTTTTGCAAAATTGTGAAACTAAAGAAGAGTCACAAGCTATTTTCTATAAAGTATGTGGAAAGGAAATATTTGAACCTCCGGGATGTTGATCTCGTTTCATATTTGTTTCAGTTATGGAATATAGATGAGATTTTTCAAAGCGAATCGATTTATACATGTCGAACCCATAACCTCGGTTATCGAGAAGGGTTTTGATTTTTATGATCGCGTAAATTTCAAACAGCCGAGCCAGCTTGGCTCTCCGCTCTCATTTCTCTCGGCTTTTTCAGAAGTTTCTCGCTTAATGCCGTGAAAATTCTATTCATTCTGCCGTTTCATCCAGTCACGGAGAACTCCGTGGAATTTCATCGAGCGGCAGCTCCGACGAATTCCACCAGTACGTCCTTGACGGCTCACCCTTAACCCTGAATCCTCCCTTGAATCTTGATTTCGAGTACACTGAAATCGTTGCGGTTGCTCATCGCTTGAAACTCGGGTTGTTCGAGATCTGGTCACCGTCTTGTTACGACATTTACATTTCTATGCGTTTTATCGCTGATGGGTTACAATTTCGGTTCTGGTAACATAGCGAGAGGTACGGGATTACAATATATTTGAATTGTCAAATGTGACGAAAGGAATATTTCTCTATTTGGAGGAATTTTCCAAGATATCCGCGAGAAAAAATCAAAACTCTGACTAGTTTATTGAAAAAGAAATCCAGATAACGATCGGGTATAATCGCAAAGGTGATCGACGGTCCGCTCGTATCGGTCGAACGAGATTGAAGGCTCGGCTAACGAGTTGTTTATGAATCCACCCACCGCCTCACCGTGATCTCTAACGCGTGTACACACGTGTGCGCGCGCGCGCTTGTATAGGTGGGACGTGGCCTGTCTACGTGGAACTCTCGGACAGACACGGAGAGTAGTGGACAGGGGAGTCCATTAACGGGTCTCTGTTGCCCTCCGCCGACATAGTTCGCATTGCCGAAGCTCTCCTTCTCTTTCTTCCAATCCCGATCGCGTTATCCGTCTTTCTTCCGCGCGATATTCTTCCTTTCTCTCTCTCTCCTTCGCAACGATTCGATTCACCGTCTACCTTCTTCGTCCTGAAATCATTTCTCTGCCCCTTCGTGCTCTCTCTTCATTGGAGAGAGCCTCTATCTCGTTCTCTGCTCTCGTTCGATCTCTCTTTCGTAGTCGACCGCCGGGTTATCTCCCCGGTAGTCATGGAAACACGAGGGTTGGAGCCGCCCCTGGCCGCCAATCAGAACTCGTGGCCACCACGGGAGAAACGAACGGCTACCCTACCCCGTTCTGCACTCTTCTCCCACCCCTTGCACTTGTCTAACTAGGCGAGACCTGGCTATACCCTCCACCCCCTGACACCCAACCCTCTCTATGCTTCGCCGCCGGGGAGGCTGAGATTCTCGCTTGGGAGGAAATCTTGACCGGGCGTGCCCCGAATCCGTGATACAACCCCCCTCTGCCCCTTAGAACACCACCATCTTATACAGAAATATCTGTCGGACTTCGTTCATGCCTTGTACAGGAAGCTAGACATCGTCGGGGCTGCGAATTAACGACTGTTTCCACGAATTAACGCTATTCACCGCTAGAATAGTAAGAATACGACGGAATGGCTCTGTTGTCCTTGAAGAGATTTCGATTAGATCACGGGGGTTGATGATAGGATTTTTCATGGATCGTGAAAGGGTTCCAAGGGCATTTTCCTCGTTCCAGCTTTCAATTCGGTCGGGGTTCGTTGCTTTTACTTTGATTTTTGGGTACAGATTCTATTCACCAAACTATGCAACGAGTTAACGAGTTAATAAAATGATATGTATTGTCATTGTTAGGATTCGAAATATATCTAATGTATATTTCAACGTTTTTGTTGCAGGCGAGAAACCTCACAAGTGTCAAGTATGTGGCAAGGCGTTTTCCCAAAGCAGCAACCTGATTACGCATTCGAGAAAGCACACTGGTTTCAAACCTTTCGCTTGCGAGCTTTGTGGTCGAGCTTTCCAAAGAAAAGTGGATCTGAGAAGGCATCGAGAGACCCAACACGCCGATCTGAACGCGTCCCAACGACCGGCTGGTTTGACTTCGATTCCTGGACAAAATTCTTTGCCCAATGGCAATCCACAATTGTTGCAGTGAATAACGCGGAACGATTTAATCGAAGAAACTGTGAATCTCTCTTTTAAGAGGAGAAAAAGTTAGTTGGACGCTTCCGGAATTGTGCAATTCGTGGAACTCGACAGATCTCATGTTGGCCTTGTCGTCGGACGCATTTCGCTGGAACGTGTACGTCAATTTGTACATTCGCGTTAAAATCGGACTTTGTATTTATTATTCGATAAAAGGAGAAACGCGTTTGTTCGAGCGCAACGATAATCGAGGGCTGGTACGGCGTTTCGTCGACTGGAATGTCAATGGCACATACATTCCGATTGTTACCAAAGCTGTACATTCCACGCGCGGTTCGAGCAAGAAAGTATAATAATAAGGATTAAATAGATTTACGAGGATCCTTTTTTCTTGAGCGACAACCACGGTATCCGATTCGTCGACGTTTTTTTCGTTAACGAATCAAAGAAATTCCTTTGTTTTCCTGAGTATCGATACTCACCGTGTTGAATCGTTCGTTAAGTATTGATAATCGTTCGCTGTACTTCTCGCATTAAGTAGACGTTTACGCGATGTTCTTTGCGGCGATTGGACGAGTTTAATTTAATCGAGTTTAAGTGTACAGTCGATAGATTTGTGTTTGGGAATGTTGTTGAATTTATTGTATATACGTACAATGTACCGATAAAGTGATTCTACACGCTTTATTATTATACGTTTTAACGCTTTGAGTGTACGATATCGAAAATTGCGTTTAGTTCCGAAATTCGAGAAGCGATTAAAATTAAGCTCGTTTGGTCGTCGATGATAGACAAAGTGTAAAATCAAAAGGTACGAGCACCGTACTGTATTTTGCATATCTCCAGCACCTATCGTTCAAGAAAGGGTACCACCCACTCCCAAAGATGCAACTGTGACCAAAAAAAAAGAGGAAAGAAAAGTTGTAAATAGCACTTAGACTGTATCTCGTCTAGCCTAAGCGTATAAATATATACATGTATAAATAAAAAGAAACGAAGTCGAGGCTATAAATAATTATAAATAGAGACGAAACTTTTTGAACCGATTTGGTTCTGATCGAAAGAAAGAGAAGAAAGGGACGAAACATGCCCTGAAGTAATGTCTCGTCAACGAGTAACTGTATTCTTCTTCTCTTCTTGCTATTGAAAAGATTTTTATTGTTGTACCATTCCTATTATCATGTAATTATTGTAATTAGAAAACTCGCTATTAATATTATTGCAATTATTAATATTATTATTATTATTATTATTAACAATAAATGCTGTTACCATTTCTAATTCATTCTGTCAGTGATATACACGCACGCTCGCGCGCATATGTCAACGCGACCAATCCCTTTCTGTTTCACTTCAACCGTACGCTTAAGAATTTTTGAAGAACTTTATATCATCGTTATTTGAATAAAAAAGAAGATTTGTTTCAATCCTACATCCAAATTTTTTACTTCATTTTCCGATCAATGCTGAACTTCTAGTTAATAGGTGAACTCACGTTATTAATTCACGCTATTAATTTATAATTTCTAAAAAGAAACTCATTATTTTTCTAAACGTATACACGATATACATAGGAGGACAAGAATCGACGCAGCAGACGATTAATCATTGACCAAGGAATCTGGTAGCTTCGTATCCAGCTCGTTTCAGTCTGCACGATCCGTCCGGTGTGTAATTCAGGGTTAAACGGCCGTGCCAATTAAGCAGACTACCCTTAACGGCGAACCCCTTAACGGCCCAATATGTTTTCCGACGAGTTTCGTTCGTCTACTCTTCTCTATCCATCCCTTTCTCGCGCTCTTTTCTCCTCTGCAACTCTCATTATTTCGAGCAGGGTCGGCACTAGGGATGCGTCGTTTCGACGCGAGATTTTCCGGACTGCTCTGTTCGAGATGCCTCACGATTTTCACCGAGCAACACGAAGGACATTCGAAGTCGAATAAAGAGGGAAAAACAAGCGACAAAGATGGACGAGACGGGTAGCACGGGGGGGTGGTCGGAGGAAGGAACGTTACAGCACTGACTGCACGACACCATGACGCAGCCACGGGGGCAGATTGGACAGTTATTGCATTCTGGGTAAGATTAATTGATATGGGGACTCGCGGGGGTGGCTGGAACACGCTGCTCGCTTAAATCGTGTCTCAGGAATGGGGATGAGAGGACGGTGATTAACCGATTGCACCATGAACCGAGTGGAACCGAAAGCTACCCCCTTCTCTCTCATCCTGCCAACTGCATCCACTCTAATAGCCATTGAGTAATAGAGAGCCTCTCATTATTAAATAGCACGAGACTATGTTCGAGCGAGCGTACGATTGTTTGTTTCAGTAATGACGTGATTACCGTGAGCACCGTATCGTTGGCCAGATTTATTAAGCCTGTTCATTTGACCCGGACAGGTACGTCAGGAATCTTCCCGACCTGTTTCCAACTCGGTTTGCTTAATCGATCATATCGGTTATTAGTTTTGAAGCCGAGTTTTATTCCCGTCGACGACTGAGAGGAGGAAAATCAAAGAAAACTCTTAATTTCACGAATCGTACAAATTCCTATCAATCAAAACCACGATCTAATCCAGGATCAAATTGTTCGATTTCAAACGATTCAAACAGCAACGCGAACATGTTAACACACCGTAGAGTTTCGACTGCCCAACTACCTAATCTGCATCGAACATCTAGAAGATCGCTCGACAAACCAGACAATTCCAATAAGTATCGCAATTCCCGTTGCACCAGAACGCTGCCACGATGTTACTTGTTTCTAGTATTTCCCGCAATTGCCCGGCCAGCCGGGGCGTGGAGGGAGATTCCTTGTCATATTCGAACCAGAAAACGAGTGTCCAGGGTCGTATCGTTTCAACGGCGGAAGCTGTAGAACTTCGAAACACGTTTAGCGGGGACAAATACAGCGGCACTACGCGAATACACCTTATGACTATTAAGGTATTCACGACTCCTCCGAGGATGCTTCGCTTTGAAATATGACATCTAGGATCATCCTCTGCATACCTCATCTTTTGCTTACTTCTACCCTAACCATTTTCTACGTTTACCACCTTCCCCATCCTCTATCGTTTTATTTTCGCGTATCTCGGTCTTGCGATCGTGTTCAACCGCGTTCGAGGTTCCATAAGCTTCCATCTCGCGTCTCGCCGGTTCTCCATATTATTTACAGCCTCGTTCCGCGTGTTATCTCGCAATAACTCGAGCGGACTGTCGCAGTTGAACGCAAGAGTGTCACCAAATTGATGGAAACCGGAGAACCTCGTAACCTGTCCCGTTCCTGACACCCTTGAGTGATGTACCATAGCACGGGACCGACGTCGTCGGCGTATTCGACGATGAAGCAGCAATCGATACGTGTGACCGTGCGTGCCAATATTTTTGTCGCGGTTCCAATCGAACTGTATCACGTACCAACAGAACACGTACATCCGGAAAAAAGATACGGGATCAAGTATATGTTCTACAATTTTTCCTACTGCATAATGCAATAAATGTAGCGCTGTTTCCTCTCTGTTTTCTGTTCGGGAAAGATCTCGAGATGCTTTCATTTATCGAGAATTGGATGTTTAGAGATGGAGATTTCGTTGGGAATATTCGTGATCTTAAAATTTCCATGTATAAAATACGTATCTATAAAATATAAGCTACGAAATTTGAAAATTTTTCAAACGGCAATAACGCGCATCGCGTGTTCCAGAAAAATACACGAGAGCGATCCTTTCTGAAATCCCATTTTTCCCGAACACGGCATAATCTCGTTTGCGAGCGAGGATTTTCTCGTCAGTCAGCTGATCGTGCCTTGACGCGGATTAAAAAACGTCAATTCGCAATTATCGTACGTGCCGCGTTGTCCAGGCGCACGGTTAATGGAATTTTTGAGAAGGAGATTACACTGCGAGCTTTATTCAATTTATCCTGTTGTATGCCACGCGTTAATTCCACGCTCGTCGTCTCCTATGAACTCTGACATCGTGTATCTCCTTTCAGCCACCGCATTTCCTACATATTCTCCGCGACGAATTTTAATGTATTCAATCTTCAAACGAGATGATTCGAAATTTCTTAACATCCGCGGCAGTTGATTCGCAACGGGAAGCGATTCTTCCGTTTCTCGAGGACAACAATGTATCGACAGCGTGACAGGCTGTCAGGAGTAGCGTCATTTGTCAGTAGGCTTTTTCTAATAACGGCGGGACTCTGTTCCTGTCTTACGCGAAGAGAGTTTAAATAAATAGCCCAGCAACCGGCCACGAAGAATAAAACAAATGGGTAGCACGCCGTGGCGAAGAAGAAAGGGGCATGTCGCACGTTCAGACGCGATCCATCAGGAGACTTCGCTTCGACTGACTCAATACGCTTTAAGATCGATCGAATTCCTGCTTACTCGGGCTTCGATATAAACATCGAACATCCTCGACAACTTTATATCGCGTTCCTCGTTCCACGATTAAGATCCATCAAGAAGCGATCTCGTTTAAATCGAAGCGCGCTAAAAGTTTCAGAGGTGAAATACAGAAACGAAGCGGTTCGACGAAAGCGCGTTAACGATTTCCGCGGTCGAGAATAAATCGTGGTAACTTACAATAAAATAAACCGTATCGTTCGAGACTCGATGTCTCGAGGTTTAAAGGAAGAAAACGTGTCGAACGGCGTACGTTAACTAGAAAGTATACGAAACGTCGTGGGGTCACTAAAGTCTCGTCGAAATAACCGAGAAATAGGTCTATCGATACACACGCATACGTGGCCGATGACTAGGTCCCCGTGGGAGCTCGATTCATTCCCGATCTTGAATAAATGATCGTACAGCAACGTGAACCATCGGCAACGAACACGCCAGGAGGATACTTTCGAAAAGTGATTATTCGTTCGACGATGTCCTGTTCACCGGGACGAAATCGACCCCCGAGGACGTGCACCGCGGTTGCCTGGGTGGCGCCATGTATTTCCTTTAGCTGCATCATTGATGATCGAACTAGATCCGGGTCCTTCTGCTTCGTTTTCCGTTTTCGTGTTCATCGTGTCCGCGCGATGTTCTTCAACGTTTCGCGTCAATATCGTTTACCACCCTCGCGTCTGATTAATCCACGCGTACACGCTACTCGAGCTCCCTGAATTTACTGCTCCATGTCCGTTACTTTTTTGCCCCATCGGAGGATTCCTGCGAAAGCAATTACGTTTTATTCTGTGAATACTATTGACGACAGTTTTATGGTGAATTCTGGTAGGTGGATTGCTCGTAACGTTAACACGTTCAAACGGGGGGTGAGTGTCATCAATTGACCACATCAAAATTTTATCCAACGATTAAACCGATCTTACATGGACTTTCGGAGAAGTAAGTTATGAAATTAATAGTCCTTGTAATCGCCTGTCGTGATAAATTAGGGTCATACAGTCTCGGTTCCGCCGTCTAATCAATTAATCGATCACCTTTTAACCCTACCGTTACTTCCATCGATCCATCGGGATACCAAACTTTGAGTATTCTTTAAATTTCGTGAAAAATATGAAAATGACCGTACGTTTTCCGACGATGGTACACCGTGGTAGAAAATTCCAATAGAATCTAGCGATCTTTTCTGTCCCCGTGCATAATTTCGCGGCCGTATCGACGCCTACCTGGACCACGTAGCAGGCGTAACTCAGTTTCGAAATGGATCACCTCCTAGGAATACTTTATGCGTGCTACACGTCATTCCAGCCGAGGAAGCGATCGGATCCTTGACGGTTAGACGAGCGGGGACACAGGGACACGGATCTTAGGTATTCTACGCGTCGTGCAAGGACAAGTGCATCGAGTTTAACGTTTTCATCGAGATAGAAGAGGAGCCAGAAAGTAGGAGTGGGTGGAGGCAACCCTCTTCCGCAGCGAGCTACCGGGTCTAATCGTATAAGGATGACTAGGAACCGTGGAAGGTGGTTGGGTATCAACTTTTGAACCTTCGATATCTCGAACCCCTTCCAACGGAAGCGCGTCGGTATTCAAACGGCTCTAACTCGATATAAGCGTTGCTCCCTAAGGTATCCTTCCAAGAGGACACCTATCTATCCACTCACCCTATCAACCCTCCCACCCTTAGCGAATGCGCTACGAAATAAGAGTATCCTCTTGCTCGACTGGCGAATTCAATTTGCATCTTGGCTTCTATTTACCGATCCTCTTTCCTTTTCTAAAAGGTTCGCTGTCTCTCGTTGGGTCGCAAGCTGATCCTTGGCTGTGATAAAAAGACGTTTCGTCTCTGATGCTTGATGGAAGTACCCATAAAACTAAGGGTAGAAGTTATTAAAGTATAGAAAATATATTGATAGTTTTTTTGCGGTTGTTAGTCTTCGTATTTATCGTTTGAGGGGAAATTTTAATTGAAATGAACGAGAAGTCTATGCTAAATGTAAAAAAACCTTAATCACACAAAATAAGAACTCTTCTGTGAGCTCGAATTAGGGGAATCAAATACTTGTTAAAATATTTCTCTAGAATATTATATTTCATACGTATTCAGAAAGGTGTGTCTGAAAAGGCACCGGTAAGGATTCGATGCTTACGTTACTCCTACTGGTATCATAAGTTGATATCATATATAGATACTTGATCGTCTGCTGAACAAGATTCACGAGGTACGGAAGAAACCTACCATATTCATGTCACGACCTACCGTATGAATCGTCGATAGATATTTGAATGAAACTTTGTCTGAAGTCATTCCCTAAATTACCGACAAAGCATAGTACAATAAGCGTAGACAAAAATGATCCCAAACCTATTCAAACGAACAGAACTCACACGGACAAGAACCTTCGGTAAGGAAGGGAATTACATAACAGACTGGGAAATCTACTCTATTCTCTGCCGATATGAAAGAAAACGAGGTGGTGAACATTTAATGGATTAGAAGAGTGTCACTTTTGCAGCAGATGATAACATATCTGTGTCAACATTATAAGTTTAATCACGTTTCCTCTAGAGGGCGAGGAGCATGAGATTCATGCATCCTAAATATTTCACCGTGACCTCCTTATAAATTTTATTCCCCTCCTTATTCCCATTCTCTAAGTTTAATGCTATCTTTATAGGTCTTTCGGTGAAAAGTTTAAGCACGTAATAAGTAGAATACCATTTTATAATACTCTTTCGTGGTTAATATCGATGGTTAAATATTAAAAAATAAAAATGTCTTCCACAGTATGTATTATATATTAAAATTGTTTTTCGGAAATCGTTCAAACTATTAAGAGATGTTGGGATGTAGGGAGTAGTAAACGAAACAACGTGTATGATATTTTATCGCATTTTAATGATAGCCATATTCAAGAGTACGCCATCATCCTCATCATCCTCGGCTCAATTACGGCTTACATTACTATAAAACGATTAGAAGCCACGTAGTTTTATATCGTAACGTCACTTACCGTCTCTCGAAAATTCGGAAAACGATTATTTTTAATTATGTTTTTTACTTTCGTCGATGAGAGAAATACAGGAATAGGGGGATAGAGAAATAGAGAAAGAGAGAAAGACAGCTCGATCGTATCGTCGATCGACTGCTTTTAAAGCGGAAGAGAGACGGAAATGCGAGGTTTCTTAAGCAACAGGAATAACAAAAGTATTTCAACGATCTTCACTCATTATCGCTCTACTAATTTTTAACAAAGGAACACTGTTAATGGAATGTTTAAACCGACAACGATCTATTATTTCGTCGACCCTCTTCCGTTCGTAACTAGGTGACCAAAGCTCCTCTATACTTCCCTTCTAATCTATGCGTCGCTGTCAAAAGCAAAACAAAGTAATCTAAACCATCTCGTTGCTTTTAATCGATAATTACTAAAATTTGAAAATCGAAGTGTTTACAATATTTTGATGCTATCAGGGAGAAACTGTTTTGTCATGGTTCAATATTAATTCCACTTTTGCAATCAATGATCAATTATTGGTGGCTATTCGAAAAGCAAAAGGCATCAAAACGATTTGTTTATATGTCTAACAATCTTAGCGACACGATGAATATTCGTCCATGTTCGAGGGAAGCACGGTACATTGAACAAGTTCGAAAGACGTTATTCTTGTATTCTTATTATATAATCTATCGAGTAAGAAAAATCCTTGATCCCCGTACGCTTCTCAAAACTAACTACAGTTGGATCAATGGTAACGATGTTTATATGTATAACGGTTAACGAGAGAAAAATGAATTTAGAAATCAACCGATATCTAATCGGAGTTTTACTCGAAGAGCGTACGAGGATTAAGAAGATATTTCAATAACGAATCACCTAAGCTTACGAGCGTCGCACGATTAAACTTTAGTTTGGCACTTGCACCCTTGAACGCGAGTTGTCTCATCCTCGTTTCATTCTTAATCACTCACGGAAACGCCCAGCTTCTACATATTTCACTTTCTCGCTTCCTTTCGCTCGATCCTACGTAACTCAGGCCTAGCTTCGTTTATGGTTACGTTGTTTATTATAGTCACGACTTACGCATTGATTGCCGCTAGATTTGTCTCCGACCAAAAGGTATAAATCTACTTGGATCTAAAATGTTCGCAATTTAATTAAACGAACGATAAAGTACCTCTATAAGGAATAACCCAAATTCCCTTATTATATTCCGGAAGAACTCTATTAAAATATTTGACTATCGCTCAATAATACTTTGAGCGAACATTAAGTAGGTCAACAAAATGTTACATTAGAATCGAAAGCGACAGTCAACGCGTTACTAACTGAACACGAAACACCTAACTAAAGATCATTTTTATAAAACTGAATTGCACACGTTTTCGACGTATACGCGTACATACATACATACGTATCGACTTTACATATATAAATTCTGTTAATGTAATATACGTCACGCTTCTTCCTTTCAATGTTAACTATTCTCGTTTATATCGCTCCATTTTTATTTATTTGTTCGCGGGCTCATAACGTTCAACAACGTGTATATCTTATAAGACTTAATCGAATAGGTATAATTAGTAATAATAAAACGTGTAGTAAAGATAATGTGTATATGTATATATATATATATATTATTCTTCACATCGTGTACGTTGACGAATCATTTGAATGTTACCTACACATACGTCTTAATCGCGTTACACCTTCCGATTAAATCGAAATAATCGTTAGAGTTATCGTTTCTTTATTTATTCATTAATTTACTTATTATCGTTATCTTTATCACTAATTAAATTAGAAATTTGGCGCATTTTCTTTTTGGCGTGTGTCGTTTCGCTTCGATAAATTCGATTTTGAGCCAGGCAAGAGCATATTGTATTTTTGTTTCCTGGTACTGTTATTCTTCGTCTGTACGTACCCTTATTCTCGAAATTTCTTATCGCCAACGACGACGCGAATGAAATATGTCTAATAAAAACGTGGAATTTGTGAGCGTCAATTCTTGAACGTTTCTCCTTTCTTTTTCTAATATCGAAAGTTGCCTGGTTGACGCGGTTACAAACTTTTACACATTCAGACAGCGTTTACGCGTAACTATTCTAAGTTTCGTAAGCCTGCGTTTCAGGTTTTATAAAAACAAGGGAAAACGATCGATTGCGACTTATTCTGTTAAATATTGTCCGTAAATGATATATATTTGTAGAGTCAACGTCGCTAGAACTGTTCTTTTCCAGAGAACAACGATAGAATGAATCACACGAGACGTTCAAGATTTTATTTTATCATAATCGACATCCTCTGTATCGGCGAAATAACTTGTTTCTATTTCATCTTTCCCCATAAAAGTTTTCAAGCTTATTTTCATTGACGATAAATAGATTTAAGCACGTTGTTATCGTCGTGTAGAAATTTCATTAAAATTGCGTAAAAATTGATTGAAATATAGACGTTTTTCTGCAACCGCCACCGCAAAAGATCGATACAAAATCTTAAGAATTATACATTTTCTTTTTTCAATTAACGTTGAAAGAAAGTCCGTGAATATCGATTCGGAATTCGTCCACGGATAATTAAGTCTTTCCGTGAAATTTTTTTATTCAAAGGAAGCATTTCCGCGATCGCTGATCAAACTATGAGCTTAATTAAGGAGCCAGTGGTGCCGTTCATTAAATTCTTCGTCGAATTTCCGTTGATCTTCGCTCGATCGTTTCTCCACATCAAAGTGTACGCGTTGAACGTCTACGGTTCGTTCCCAGTCCAGTGTTCTCGACGAAACTTCGATAATTCGATGATTTCCGGTTGGTAAGATAGCACAGCAAACTAACGGAAGGTCGATTTTCAAACAGGTTGCCCGGCTGCTACTGTATGGAACACGTCAATGGATGCGACAGAGCGTGGTCCAGTAGAATCGGTGTTCCCGCAGCCAATTCCGTTCTGGCGTCGCCAAAATCGTCGTCACAGTCGAAGTAATTGCTCTGAAAAGAGAAGACGTCACCGTTGATATCGCTGTTAAAAACTAACTCATTTCAATTATTCCTATTTTACGTTTTTATCAAGATCATTATAGTTACATCGAAAGTTTTTGTTTCTTAAGATTTCGAATACGCGTCTTGCGTAAATTTGATCTTTTTCGTAAAAAAGCTTAGAGCTTGTTTGACATTGAGCTTTACTGGAGTTCGAAACTTGCTGGATACTACGCTCGGCTACGTTGTCATCGAGTTTTCCAGTTGGGCTTTGAAGTTAGTAGCTGTGCTTATTACTCAAATATCAAGACATAAAGCTCTCTTGTTTGCGAACCGTCTAGTTTACTACCGCGTTTTAAGATTTACGCTTTCATTGACATTACAGAATCATAGTTACGACCCTCTTTTTTAGCAGCGGAGTAAACAGCAACCTTGGGAGGAACGGCAGGATGTTTGAATCGCGGCAATACAAAGTTAAAAACACTTTAATTTTAATATCCTCGAACGCGAAAGTTCTTCTTCGATCGTAAGGTCCAAACAGTACGCGTTCGTCGTTACTAAAAACGCAGAAGCCCGAAAGCCAACGTTCTCGTTAACGTTTTTGTAAATTCTCCAGGCAAAACGGGCGAATCGTCTCGTTAGCATTCCGGAATCCCTTGTGTAATTGCTCGGCCGCCAGGCAAGAACCCGAGGCTACGCGGGCTAGCCGATACGCGATAAAATTTTTAATTAAATTCGTATACCCATTTCCGTTCGCTCTGTTTCATTTTCTTCCGCTGGTCGTCCATGAAACGAGAACACAAGCTCTATTCGCGAAACTGGGCCAAAGAAATATTTACGCGTTGCCGGTAGAATGGCCAATCAACGAAAACGCCTCGCTTCCATGCCGTACCAGGTATAATTGGTACGCCGTGCTTTGCCAATTAGTTCCGAATTCGAGACAATATCCGCTTAATTCTCCAAGATTATCCGCGCTGATTCCCTCGAATTGCGTGTAACGTACACGCGGTGCCGTGAATAGACGCGATTACTCGTAGGATCTTAGGGCCGCCCGTATAAAGCGTAAAACATTCGCCGCCGTTCGGGGAAAAATTATATTCTTTTTACCAATTTACACGGATCGCTGGAGAGGAATATTGGAATATTAGATCCTCCCTCGGGAACTTTTGTTATCGAGCTTTTTCGTTACAGCGTTTCAGACTGTAAAGTTTCTTTAACGCGACAAAGGATGATTCTATCGTTTTGCCTCGCCTAGCTTAGTAGTAATCGCGATACGGCTGACTAAAGTATGCAGGCTAGGAGATAAGATCGATATCTACCTGACAATCGATGCATCGGCAGCTATCGGTCAACGAGCAGGTAAGACCAAGTATCTCGACGGCTTCTTTGTAAAGTTCCGCACTCGACTTGCGTTGTCTGGGCGGTGTGGTCGGTGCACTAACTGTCCCTGTCACCGACGGTCTTCTGCCTCTCTTCAGTCTCGAAGAGGACTCTCGAGACAAGGAGGAGGTCGAAGTCGATCCTCTTCGGCGATTGTCGTTGCTGAACAATGCTCGACCGGCCGGCGATGCGAACAGTTGCAGCATGTCCATATCCTGCGATTCAGCATAAACATCGATCATTCGTTGTCACGTATTTGGTTGTCTAGCTTAAAAAAAATATTATTCCTACGGAATAGCGTTGGTTGAAGGATTTAGTTGATCCTACAATTTGGACCTTGCAACTTGCGGGATTTATGATACTGTACAGGAGATAGATGGAGGTAGGCGAAGGTAGATGTATCACTCTAAACCATTTTTCAAATTTAGTCGACATACGATCATTGTTTTTAATCGCACGATTTTTATCGCGTGTAAATGGCCAGCTTTTTCACTCAACTTTTATTTCTAAATTTCAGCTTACTTTTGAAAGTCATCATTTTAGAAGAATTTTATTGGAAAATCTGTGTCGCGATTAATCCAGCTACATTCGAGAATTAAGAGTTCATATATTTGTAATAATTACCGAATTAAGATTTCGTGAAAATTGGGTAAAGATGGCAAAACATTCTATTATTACCGCTTTGTAGGGTTGATTGGCCTTTGTCGAGCTTGTCTATAGCGGAGCTTTCGTGCATCTGCCTTGTTGATACTCGTTAGTCTACCGAGGAATTCTCGTTGGTTTTCCCGGAAGGGCATTATTCTCTTAACGAGGTAAGACGTACTCGCGAGTGCCTCTATCCTTTCCGTCGTCTCATTCGTTTCATATCGGTGGAAACTCTTTGAGACTTCCACTTCGTGGAAACGCTCCAGGCGAAAAGGGATTTTCTAACGACGCTACTACGAGCAGCCCCTCGTACCGAAACGTTCGTACCCTCTTTCTGTCCCGACGACCAGGAAAAAGCAGTCGAAGAAAATCCGCTGGTGGATTATTAAAGAGGAACGTGTCGAAGCTTCTCGCACGTGTCCCGACAAAGCTACCTTTTCCCCCGTCTTTCTTACCGCGTCTCTTCCAATACTTTGCGTTACACCCTGTTCCTTGGAGCACCGATATAATTAAAATTATCCTCCGCTCCTATCTCGAATTGGAATTTCAGAGATTCTACTAAACGCTCGAAAGGCTACTCGAATTAGTCGAAGAACGTTCCTTAGTCGAGAAAACACTCTGTTAGCAACATGAAATCTTCGAAATCATGATCGCGTGTCAGGATTCTAAGCTCGAGTCCACGGAGGCTGAATTTCACGTGTGACGGGGTATGGCGTGCTTAATTATCGGTGCCAGATCATTAAAAGCTGCCTTCGTTTCTGCGGTACGAAACAAACGATCATGGTTAACGCTATTGCAACGCAAACGCCGCGATCGTTTTACCGGAAGAAAATAATTGGAATATACGGAAAAACTGGCACGTACATCTCACGATTTTCATCGCATGTAAGCAACGAGAATGTTCAAGTATTATCAGAAAAATAAGAAAAATTCAGTGATTATTCGGAGACTATATTATCGATGCGATAACGCATCACCAGTTATTAAGTATCGGTTATAATTATTATATTGTATTGCTAATAAAATGGAACAATTTTGCGATGGATTAACAAAGAGACGAATGTTCATTTTTTCAAAAAACGATCGTACCACTCGATACGTTCGTTAATTAATTAAACGGGAATGCATGTCGATGGATTCCATCGACGTAATCAGGATATTTCGATTTGGAAACGAGGAAACATTCGAAACTACAAATTTTCAAACTTGTTACACGGATCAGTTCATTACGTCTAGTGCGAGTTACACCAACGGATGTTATATTATCGAATTATCAATTTGTGCACGATAGGTCGAAACGATGGAAATATTTTGTCGGCAACAGAACGATTTCACGTGGAATCTCGACGCAGCGGAAGAATTCTCGGGAAATCTATGTTTGAAAGCCTTTTTGCCCCGAGGCGGAGACTTTCGAACTATTACCAACCGTAAACGTCCATGATAAGCAAGAAGCACGCTTACAGGCTGTTCCGTAACGCGAAAGCTTCGTCGAGAAACAGCTTGGTGCTTTGGAAGGTAGCGCTTAACGGGTGCTTCAATGTTTTCTCGAAAGAAGATCGGAAGAATCGTGAGGGAAAATCGACTGGCCAGTGGATAGCACGTACGCAGTTTGTCGCATTTTATTCCCGGCACCTGTTCGTTAAATGCTTTTCGACGATCTCTTGCGAGTCGATGTTAAATTTTCTGGAGTATTTCCGTAAAGATGTTAAGGAAGGCGTGCATCGAGCATAGAATATCGTACATCAATTCGGCAATTTTAAAATCTTATTTCAGGATTTTCTAAAAATTATGTGTATACATGTATATGCTTAGGAGGCATATTCACGAAACAAACTTCGAAATCTTAACAAGCAGAATTGGCGAGAAGTTTCTTTTTGTTTCGTGGTAAAAAGATGAAATTTTTCTTTCACCGCAAAGAGTTAATATTTGGTGGTTAGGTGACAGTTTAGGTCGCGGTGGAACAAACTTCTTGGCGTTGATTTAAGTTTCATGAGACCACCAGCGATTCGGTTGGCGTTCTTGAACAAACACGATTGTGTTGGTAACATATCGATGACGAAAAATATATATATCAGAAACGGTAATTCTCCGAGTTTTTAACGCGAAATTATCAAGCTTTCTGTCGAGAAACTTTCACAGATACCTTACTCGAATTATTCGATGAGATTTTTATTCCATCGTTCTTTCGATAACCGAGATATACGAAATTCGAGGAAGCTGAAATACTGGGTCAAAATAAATTGATCGTGAACCGTTGAAAAAAATTCATCAAAAATTCTAATCTCGTGGTTTAATAACGACCTGCGCGTGTCTTTAAAATTTTATAAAATAGAGAGTATTTGAAAGTAAAAAAAGAGTAAACCTTTGCTCGAGTCAAGTGTCGTTTTTTCAAAACAAAAATTCACCTACGAATAAAATGTAGAATTTTGAAATTCGAAAGCGAATGAATTAGTTAGCGAAACGAAATCAATTGTGTTTTGGTAAAGGGTTACGATCAAAGGGAACGATTAACCGGTAGCATTGATCGGAGAATCATTTTCCTGGTCAAAAGGATCTTTTCTCCGTCGACCAATTGGTCGAATCTTTATTTCTGGCGTGCTTGAGGATCCAGAAGGAGACATCCTGGACCCCGGACAAAAGAGCGGACAGGAAATGGCAAAGAGATCAGATGCTGAGAGACAACAAGCAGAGAAACCTGATTCGATGTACCGAGTGCACGGCTAGACAGAGTTCAGGATATTCCCCGAGGAGACATATCCAGTCTCTTGTTCTCTTCGCTCGTATTTCCAGTAACCGGTGAACTTTCCTCCTCTGTTTCGACGCTGATAAATAGCACGCTGGAAACGACAAGTTAACACCGGGTCTTCTTGAAAATTTCTACGTCGCGTGAAACGCGAACGAAATTCCGATCAAAACCCGCGAAACGCTGATGGAAGTTTCTTGTTAGCGAGACAATTTGATGCTCTATGCAACAACGATGTTATTTTATACGCGTTTAACCCTCGAACATCGAAAGTTTAGACTGTACAAACTTCCGAGTGCAAATCGTCTCTATTATCCTCACCTTGACTGTATAACGAGAACTGTACAATTATTTCCTACGATAGGAATTCGATTCTTAACTGAAAAAAATCGCGAGAGATTCGCGGAAACGATTCGACCAACATTTCACCCAACACCCTAATTACCGTGAACGCGACTGATTGATCCATTCAATTCGCTATAGCGAGAGACCGGAAATTCAATATCTACGTCACCGCGGAATCAAGGTCCCCCAGCCGCGGGACTCCTGCAAATTACATTCGGTCTTGTGCACACGGTACACGAAGCATCTCTGTATACATCTCGAATAAGGATATATATTATACGTATACACGTATGCATACGTTTATGCACGTTCGATTCGCGATAGCGGGCAGAAATAGATAGATGTTCAGGAATTGTTGACATCGAACGGACCATGAGCCGAGAAGTAGCTAACGAAGAAGAGGATATGCTTCGTGTCCTCCTCGTTCTTTTTATTGCCGTTTCTACGATGAAAGTTCAGACACAGACGTCGTCGCGGTTATTAACCATCGACCCTTTTGTCAGGGAAGTAATCGGGATCATGTGTGGCTTCTAACAAGAAGTTTTTCCTCGTCGTTTTATTTCTTTTATAGTTAGCCGATTATTGGACTCTTTTTATGGGTTTTTTCGAGATTGGGAATGTCTGATATCGAATCGATTGAAATTGATAGTGGAGACGTATATTCTCCTATGTTTCTATCTTGTCGATTAACGGAGTCGTTACGTACTTTTCTTCCGCTTTTATTAATACACGTACTTCGGTTTCAACCATTTTTTTTGCACGTACAATATTCTGCATTAATCGGTGTACGTTGTCGATTTAATTGCTCGCAATAATTCTTCAATATTTTCGTTCGACAGACAATTGTAAAATAAACAGCGAATAATGTCACCAACGATTAGTCAGCCGGTAAAATAGTTGGTGGTAAATAAAGCGAGCAGCGCTCAAAGTTGACAGGTTCATTTTTACCAGAAACACGAGCCATGGAATTGCCGTCTATATCGGTGCAATTATCCGGTTAATGTACGTTTTTTTCCCTTTCAAACGAAAGGCAAGAGCAATCCGTTTCATTGACCGGTTCGACACGTTGCTTTTATTTCCGTCTCATTTTCTCTCTTTACTTTTCACTTCGTTAATGTTGCAGCACGTATCGATTCAATTTATTCGGCAGTTTACGAATTTCGTATTCGCCGCAGGAAATGTCCCCAGTTCGGTTGATTATTATTAAATTTGACTGTTGCTCGGAACAGTAGGCTAAAAGTTTTAATTGATAACTGGGATCGAACGATTCGGTAACGTTGAATTCAATTAAATTCTCCGGTCTGTCGTCTAAATTAGCCTTGTTGTATCAAACAGGTGTTAACGTTAGATCCAATCAAATTTATTTAGATGTAATATCGAAACTTTGTTAAAGGTCGTTGCTCGAGAAACTCTTAACAGTAGTTCGATCGAAGGTAAGAGATTTTAGGAAGAAAGAGCAGGTTAGCAAGAAGAAACCGCCGAAACGTTTCTCTGGCATGCAATCATAAATCGAATTAAATGCTGAAACAGAAGTGAATGCGGAGACGCGGTCGCGACTAACTAGCTTAGTTGAGTTCTACTCACCGGTAGCGATTCAGGTGTGTGGTCCAGCACGTATATGTTGTTCGTGTATCCATATAACACCGTGTCCAGATCTGAAATCCAAGGAGCGACGTCGCACATTAAATTGGATCTAACCATTGTCTACGACGACGGAATACTAATGCTACGCACAGTTAGCCAACTGCGCAGCATCGCGTTCTTCCAATTACGACCGAGTCGTTTCTTATCAACGCGTCCCAATTCTATCCGATATGAAACGTCCGAGGAAATTGAACCGGGACTAATCGCAAAATCCAACCTAAAGGCTTATTGCAAACCGATATCTTTCCTTTCGTCGATTCGTTTTTGTATTCCCATAGACTGCAATTAATTTCCTATTGTGCTTTCATCTATTCCCTCAGACCGAAACATGTATACCCTTACACTCGCACTCGCCTATTAATACGTTAAAAATTTGGAAGCGCAATAAGGACGATTAATAAACGTGAACGACACATAGTCGCGACAAAATTAGTTTCCCATTTAATAGACAGTTAACCATCGAACAAGCTAACTTTCGTTAATAGTGTTTTTCTAAAGAAGTTTAATGAAGTTGGCCGCCTACGGTGGTAAGGTCGTTTGTCGATGGAAAAATAATTAGATGTAGACCGGAACCATCGGCGGAAACTTTGTCCCCGAGCGACCACCAAGATTGATCGGGGAAAAAGTCTATCTCGGTTAGGTTAAAGGAAATAAAATCTCTACGAGAGTAAATCAATTTACAGCGTTCAATTACGAAGAAGAAATAAAACTACCGTAAAGTGTAAAGTGTTTAGAAGGGTGAAGCCATTCTGTATCAGTGTTACGAGAATATACGATTCTAATGTCTCCTGGGGAACACTTGCAAACACCGATATATCACGGAAAATCCAGGAACGAGCACGATTTATGCGCTGAAATCTCAGACCGAGCTCAGGGAACGGAACAATTTTTCAAAATTATTACCTCAACCTGTATGCTGGCTATCCGTCGATGAACGAGAGCCACTTCGATCCCGATCGCGATTCATTTCCATGCGAAAAAGGTCTTTTGTCCCGCTCGTTCCATCGCCTTATATCGAACATGCGCATGGAGACAGATATTCGTCGATCAATCAATTGCATACGACAGTCTATCGATATATCGCCCATCGTCCGCGCATAAAAGCGTGAATATCGATTTTCATCGACGATCATTCACTATTTTGCGGTAGTTTCGATGATCGAAGAAACGGAAGTAGTAAAAAGTGAATTAATCAGTACTTCTAGCAAATTGTTTCTTTTTGGAAATTCGATTAATTCAATTTTCTTCGATTAAACATGTACTTTTCTTTAAAATCCTCAATAGTTCCACTACTTATGAAGTTACATGTTTTAAATCGCATCTTACTTTCGTGTTTGCACTCCATTTCCATCAGCTCCTGTACCGTTCGGTTTATTTCATCACGTTCCATCGTTCTATCGTGATTCCACGTCTGACCATATCCTACGTTGTTCTACTTATCGCAGCTTCACCGATTTCTACTTCACGCGTCTGATCACGTTCCGCTTCATTCTACTTGCGTGATCAGACACGTTATAGCACAAGGTATGTAATCATTACGCTCTCCCATTTTTCTACGCGAGTTTCAAGCCTTTTTTCCCACCTTTCAACAGATATCGTTCCACTAACTGAATTTAGTATTTCAAAAGTTAGTTTAACAAATTACGTTACGTATAAATTTCCATTGCAAATGTCGGTGAAAAGAAAAAAAAATGAAAAATGGAGACGAGATGCGATTGTTTGCACGTTTCGCGATTAAACGACGCTTTTCCCAGGTGGCTGAAATTTTTCGACGCTTCGCCTCGTGTTACGGAGGACCGGTTTCCGGTCAGCTAATTCCGGGGCTGCAGCTCTTGCCCAAATCGTGCACAACCCAGCCGGAAATAACGAATGAATTTATCCCAAACGACTGTTCCGCGCCAATGGTGACCAACGAACGCACACACACACACACACACGTGTACACAATGTAACGTTATTATCCACTCTCTGGCCACGGCACAGCCATGAATACTTGTATGGCATCCGTTTCATTTCCATGACGAACGTTAATTATCGTTAGACTCTGTTCTCCGATCGCACAATATCAACTCGTTATGATGGTTAAACTGTCCTGCAAATGAGCAATGTCTCGATATCTATGAATCTATGAACCAACTTGTACGCGAAAACGAGTCCAATCACCGATTCTTAATCAAGGACTAAGCGCAAGTAGAGAACGATGTAAATAATCAGGCATCCAACACATTCTTATTTTCCTATATTTTTTACGCGACAAGGATTATTTTGCATTATCGTATACGTTGTTTGGCAGTGTTAGCATAAAATTGTGCATTCGAAGAATCTTTCACCTCGGTTTCTTTCCTCCGGTTGCATCCATCTTCGTGCACGCGTCTCACATTTCTTGAAAATCGTGCCATGCGTTATGCAGCAACACAGGAAGAAAAAAGAACGCGTTATACATCGTACAGCGAAGATTTATTACTAATTACTTTCCCATGCTGACCTATTTTTATTCCTTCGAGCCCTTATTCGCATGAATTTATCATCATTATTTTTATTCCTCCTGTGACGGTATGTATGCGAAATATATGCGTGCGCCGAAGCAATCGCGATACAACGCGACAATGAGATTTATTATTGCAATTCATATTGAAATATTCGCTGAATATTTCAACGGAAGAGCGAAACTGTAAGAAGATACGACCGTTACGATATCGGTTGACACTTAATTCAGTCCAACTATTGCGTTACGTGCGCTAAAATCAGTTCGTAAATCAAAGTATCATTTAACGAATAGAATAATTGATTAACCTGTTATCGGTAAAATAATCATCGCTAATCTCTCTTTGCAAGCCACGTAATTAGTTGGCCAGTTACGTTCAGACTGTGAGCCAAGCGCGAAGCCGTGAGCTCGTAAATCGTTTCAAGATGCAACGAAGGAAATTAATATTATATCCTTAATAGCAATGCAAAGTATCCAGTTACGATGATGGAAACGACGGCGAACCCATTTAATGCCACGCAAGCATCCGCTCCACTGATCCGCAAATTCGTCCAATTAATCGCGGTTCTAACAGTAACGAACCATCCTACCCTGGCCGTAATTACGATCCTCTTTCTGGTACCTCGCTAATAGCAATCACATCGCTCGTTCGTCCATAATATATCATCACGATGACGTGACGACGCCAATGGTCTATAGTTTGCTCCATTTTCCCTTTGGTTCCAGAAACGTTATCTCGAAACATTCTTCACCACCGTTAAAATTAACCCCTACATTTCTTGAGCCAACGTTATAAATCGATCAGCTTAACTCGTTAGCCGTTTCATGGTAATAAATGGATCCGATGCGTGGTCGTGCAACTTATGAAAATCTAATGCATCGGAGTTCTGTCGCATGACAGATTCAACACGCGAGAGACGTGACGCGTGGGAGATTTAATGCATAGATGATACATCGCGTGGGAGTTTTAATTCCTGGCGATTCAACCAGCGATGAATCGACGGCGACGAAGAAATCGATTTCTACGTTTCGCTATAAGAAAAGTTTACTAAATTTGAATCGTCCAATAGAATTGGCAATAAAACACCTTCGGTTCTCACGGTCAGTTTCAGAAAGTTTGCTCGGAAGCTGAAAATTTTCCGGGAAACCGTTTAACGAGTCGATAGTTTGCAAAGCTGCCAGCACTTTGCATCGTTCCTCTCGCGTACGAACAATACACACGCTCGTAATATAGGTTTGGTTAGCCGTTGGCAGCCGAACCTCTCTTGTAATTCTCCGTGTAGATGCAAATTTTATGCAGTTCTCTAAGTTCCCTAAGTTTTACATCCGCGTGTTAATTGGTCTGCCAGCCTGTTGACGAGCAAACTTCGCGACAACATTTCGACGAACAAGAACATTCTCTTCACTCTATAAAATTTCTTTTTTCTTGAAACGAGTCCGCGTTCGAACGGTCTTTTCGACTTAACCGATGGCTAGAGGGTTCCGGAAAATATTTCGATTAATCATTCTATTCGTCTGAACCATATTCTTAAACAAGGCATTAGGCGTGTTCTCGACGTAACGAACGCGAAAGTAAATAACGGAGAGGTGAGTCGACGACTATCGTTCATCGATTCGTAATTGTCACGAGTCCCGCAGCACCACTGTGCGATGTCTAAACACACGTTTCGTAGTTGAAGGGTTAACAAAGTAGCAGTACCCCAAAGTTTCGCCACAATGTACCCTAACGAATAGGGTGGAAATCAGCCTTGTCATCGTCGGCTCACGGCAATCTCCGTGCAATCAAATGGCAAACACCGGGCTCGTAGAGAGCTGGTACGTCGCTGCGGACCGTTTCCGCGAGCCACGTACTTCCATATGCAAATTGCACGCTACGACCTAGCACGTCGTGCAGCGAAATCGAATCAATATTGCATTAGGAAGGCCGGATGCTACTGCGATCCGAGCATGGACCTCTATTCTACTGAATAAATTATGCCGAAGCGCGGAGCCTGCTCTCTCTCCCTTTTCGTCTATCTTTTGATAAACGGGCTTCGCACCACACCAGACCGGTTACCCTCAAATTTTTGATGGCCTAGCTCGCGGTTTTCCACGAATATTTCATCCGGGAACCGCGTACCCGTATTCCGTCACGGGAGAGACCGTTTCGTTGCGGGATCAGTTTCCTGCTGAAATCGATCGACACTCGGCGAATCGAAACGTTTGTGACCAAAGTACTTGTTAACGATTTTTTCTGATCGAACAGGGATCACATCTGGAAGCGTAAAACAACGCGTTGTTAATGCACTGTGGTGTAATAGGTACGCCATATCGTTTGCGAGAGGAAATTCGAAATTTCGTTGTCGCAGCCATCGCGCGAGTCGTCATTAATAATTGGTTCGCGTAGTCGCAGCTCGTGAATCGGTGATCACGATTACATACTATCGATCGCAGTTATCCATTAGTACTAATTTATTATTAGTTGTTGGCCATTAATTATTACTTACGCGTCAATCGTATTATAGTAGTGGGATGTGATCGACCGAG